GACAACAGAGCCAGCAGACACGTAGTAGTCCAAGCATCTACAATCCATCCGCAAACGGTGGCGTAACTTGCCCGGTGCTGCCTTCCACTTATCCTGAAACTGTGGTCTCCGTCTGTCATCCATCGCTCCCACGCCGCTCGCAGCCTTACTTTGAACGGCCGCTTCACACCGATGTCGAGCGGTTGAAGTTCCTTTGTCAGACCCCCGGGATAACGGCGAGCACAGCGTTCATTTGATTCACCTTTTTTTTCACATCGGCTGTGAGATGGGCACGCAGTCACAGATTAACAGCGATGGTGATGCGTGGAAAAAACCAACTGGTCTCCTCACATTCAGCCACTCTTTCATCATCTCCTCAATGAGGTGGTCTCAAAAGTCGCAGTTACAACACAAATAGGGCGCACCGCACCAAAGGGCGCACCGCACATTTTGAGAGAAAAAAAAGACGTTTAAGTGCGCCTTATAGTCGTGAAAATACGGTAATGAGGACTCTAAAGGCATTGACGGTCTAGAGGAAATATCCCGGAGCCATTTCCCACAAAAAAGCTGACATATTTAGCAAAAACCTACAAAGTAAAGTTCTTCTGTTTGGGTGTTGGAACGGACGCTTCCAGGCATGGAGTCCTGACTAGATGCTAATCGACCAATCAGAATCTGACTTGGGTTATAGTGAGAGATGTGCAGCTAATGGGATCTCCAGTAGGGCATTTTTTAATAAGTTCTGGAGCAGAACATTTCCAACCAACACTGACTGGTTCTGACGGGCTTTTTTTAGGTCAACACTTGATATAAAGGTTCTGGAATGGGATCACACAGATAATTTCATTATAATCAATCTAAAGCGTTGAGTTTTAAATCCTGCACAGACCAACTGAAGGAGGAAGAGCTCAGATGTTTGGGTTGAAATCGGGCTGGTTCTGCTCTAAAGGTTCTGTTGTTTTTCTCCTCCCAGGTCTGTTCATGTCGGCTCTCACCGTCATCATCCTCATCCTCTACTTTGTGATCTACACCTTTGGGATCCAAGGCCTCAGCTGGTTACCGGAGTGCACGCCCATTTACATCCAGTATTTCGTCAAGTTCTTCATCATCGGCGTGACGGTGCTGGTGGTGGCCGTCCCCGAAGGGTTGCCGCTCGCCGTCACCATCTCCCTGGCCTACTCTGTCAAGAAAATGATGAAGGACAACAACCTGGTGCGCCACCTCGACGCCTGCGAGACCATGGGCAACGCCACCGCTATCTGCTCGGACAAGACTGGGACGCTGACCATGAACCGCATGACGGTGGTGCAGGCGTACATCGGAGACACGCATCACAAAACCGTCCCGGAACCGGACGTCATTAACCCGGGAACGCTGGATATCCTGGTCAACAGCATCTCCGTCAACTCTGCGTACACCACCAAGATCCTGCCTCCGGAGAAGGAAGGAGGGCTGCCGCGCCATGTTGGCAACAAGACGGAGTGCGCCCTGCTGGGCCTGGTTCTGGGCCTGAAGCGGGAGTACCAGCCAATCAGAGACGAGATCCCAGAGGAGAAAATGTACAAGGTTTATACATTCAACTCGTCCCGCAAGTCCATGAGCACGGTGCTGCAGAATCCTGACGGAGGCTTCCGCATGTACAGCAAAGGAGCCTCTGAAATCATCCTGAGGAAGTAAGGAGGAGCTCAGAGGTTCTGACGGAGGTTCTGATCCGTCGGTTGAAGCCTTTATACATTTCCCCTCTGCCTCTTCCGAAAGGTGCTCCCGGATCCTGGACGCCCAAGGTCAGCCCCGCATCTTCAAGGTGAAGGACCGCGACGAGATGGTGAGGAAGGTGATCGAGCCCATGGCGTGCGACGGGCTGAGGACCATCTGCGTGGCTTACAGGGATTTCCCCGCTGAAGCCGGAGAACCGAACTGGGACAACGAGAACGAAATCCTGAACGACCTGACCTGCATCGCTGTGGTGGGCATCGAGGACCCTGTCAGACCGGAGGTACTACATACCACACCTTCACTTACAGCAGAACCTCAGACAGCCGGGCCCCAAATTAGACCTTTATGAATAAACAAAAACAGTAACAGATCTAATAAACACATAGGGAATTATTTTACAATATTTAAAATGATTTTAAATCGGTTGAAAAAGCTGTTCTGGTTGAACAGAAACAAAATATGCAGAACCCAGATAGACTGACGGCTGTTTAACATCTCATGGTGAGAAGGTGTGAATGAATCAGCCTGCTTGGTTCATCCTTTTCTGGATAGAAGATTATTTCACCATTATTTATTTGAGGTGTTAGCCTTAGCGGCTGCTCCACCTGTTCCATCTGTGACAGATGTTAAAACAGTTTTTTATTCAGTTTTATTACACAGAAGTTAGAGAAGCCAGCAGCAGACGGAGGTAAATTGATCAGAGTTTAACTGCTGCGCTGCATTTTCCGGATGTGGGGAAGTTATCAGGTCTCATTTATAAAGATCATCTGCACATCTTTGTAGAATGAACAATGAGTGGAAGTTTGCTGCAGCCTCACAAACTTTTTCAGTCCACAACAAGAAGCTTAAAAGCTCCCAAAATAAGAGCTCTGTCACACCTTACCGATTTAGCCAGTGTATGCCTGACGTCCCAGAGTATTTGTAACGAGTCCAGAACTTACTGGAACATTTTAAACATGGTTTCTAACTTCTCTTGTTCATGTGGTAACATAGTTCCTAATATAAACATGTGGGTCATATTGACTTCTTATTAATAATGTTTCAGGCCTTAAAATTATCAGAACAGGGTTAGGGTTATGTCAGAGGATGAAGAGAGCACATTCAGTTAGTCACAGTCAGAGAAACAGGACTACACTGGAAAACAGGCCAAGCCCCAACATCTATAAACAAGGATGGAGTCACAGCCAAACAGGAACAGACCAGATGAAGCTACTATGAGGAAAAGCAGAGAGAGCAGAACGTTAGAGATTGAACTAACAGATTCTGCAGAGTGGGAGAATAGAGATAGAATGAAGCAGAATGATGAAAAAGGGTTCCCTATGTCCTCCAGCAGTCTAAGCCTATAGCAGCATAACTATAGAGATAGATCAGG